TGAGCACAAAGGAAGCCAAGTACATGCTCAGGATGACGATGTCCAGGAAGTTCCACCAGTCGAGCAGGTAGCTGCGCAGCCCTTCGATCCAGACCTCCTTGCACTCAAACCAGAAGAAGCCTGGAAGGACAACGGTGGTCAGGGCAGGAAGCCTCCCAGACCCTCTGTGGTCAACACCCAACAAGGCAGCTGGGCCGCCGAAGGCCCTGCGGGGTCTTCTCCACCAAGCCAACCCAAGGCCTCTTCTCTGCACCTTCAACTAGGGCGGGGCTCCCACCTGTCCCAAATCTCCCACCTTCCGGTTCCAGTCTCCCACAAAGCCCCCTGGTCTTCCAAAAGGCCCCCACCCTCTGCCCCCTTCCTCCCCGTTGAGGGCTCTTCTGGTCCGGTCCTGTTCTGACCGCAAATGGTCCTCTCTGGTGGCCAGGTGGAGGCTGTTAAACGGATCAAGGCATTTCGCTGCCAGGACAACATGGACCTCAACGCTGGCAGCTGAGGAGACCCATCCGATTCTTCCTCCCTCCTCCTCTGTTTGACTCCTCTGTCTTTCTCCTCCTCCTCCTTTCTCCTTCTCCTCCTTCCCTTTTTTCTTCTCTGCTTTCCTTCTCCTCCTTTTTCTTCTCCTTCTCCTTCTCCTCCTCTTCTTTTCTTTCTGTCCTCTTTTTTCTCCTTCTCCTCCTTCCCGTTTTTTTTCTTCTTCTTCTTCTCCTCCTCCTCCTCCTCCTCCTCCTCCTTTTTCTTCTTTTTCTTCCTCTTTCTTTTTCTCCTTCCCATCCTCTTCTTTTTTTTCTCCTTCTCCTCCTTCCCTTGTTTTTTTCTTGTTTTCCTCCTCCTCCTCCTTTTTCTCCTGCTCCTCCTTCCCTTTTTTCTTCTGCTTTCCTCCTCCTCCTCTTCCTCCTTTTTCTTCTTTCTCTTCCTCTTCCTTTTTTCTCCTTCCCATCCTTTTTTTCTCCTTCTCCTCCTTCCCTTGTTTTTTTCTTGTTTTCCTCCTCCTCCTCCTTTTTCTCCTTCTCCTCCTTCCCTTTTTTCTTCTGCTTTCCTCCTCCTCCTCTTCCTCCTTTTTCTTCTTTCTCTTCCTCTTCTTTTTTCTCCTTCCCTTCTTCTTTTTTTCTCCTTCTCCTCCCCTTTTTTTTTTCTTGTTCTCCTCCTCTTCCTTTTTCTCCTTCCCCTCCTTCCCTTTTTTCTTCTGCTTTCCTCCTCCTCCTCCTCCTTTTTCTTCTTTCTCTTCCTCTTCCTTTTTCTCCTTCCCATCCTTTTTTTCTCTCCTTCTCCTCCTTCCCTTGGTTTTTTTTTCTGTTTTCCTCCTCCTCCTCTTCCTTTTTCTTGCTCCCCCTTCCCTTGTTTTTTTCTTCTCTGTTTTCCTCCACCCCCTGCCCCCCACTGGTGGGGACACCAACAGTGAGCGCAAAGGCTGTGATAGGCAGAGGGAAGGCGATGAGGAAGCGGTGCCAGACCAGGCTGTCCAGCCCCAAACGTGAGGATTTGATTGGAATCCAGACCGCCCCCTCCCCACTTTCAGCTCTCCCGCTTCCCTCAGGAGGATCGAGAAGGTGTCTAGGGGAACCTGGACTTCCAGGAAGCAGCCCAACAGGTGCAGAAGGAGCAGAGCCCCCCCCCTTCCTTCCCTCTCCCCTCAGTTTGAGGCGTGGGGGGGTGTCAGCGCTCAGCCACCTACCTGTGACCCAGATCATGTGAAGGGACGTCTCCCACAAGCTCTGGTTGCGCCCCATGAAGACCTCCTGATGGCGCTCCAGGATCAGGGACTCCACCAGCAGGAAGACCAGGAACCAGACGTAGGAGGCCGAGTGCAGCAGGAATTTGATCACCGGGATCTTCAGCATTTTGCCGATCTGCCAGCAGGGAAGGAAGTAACTTTCCCCCCTCCCGAGTTTCTAAAAGGTGGGAGAAGCGTCCCTGAGCCCCCCCCCCACCGGCGCCTCAAACTCCCCACCCGTCAAGAGGGCCATTCTTATCTCATCCCTCTCCAGCCGTCGCACCATTGAGGTTCCTCAGGGTCTGCCCCACTCAAGACAGCCATTAGCTCAGCTGATGCCCAAGGAGTTCCAGGACTTCAAATCCCAGCATTCCTGGCTAAAAGGGCCACTGGCTAGGAATTCTGGGCTGAGCTGAGCTGAGCTGAGCTGAGAAGATGAGATGAGATGAGATGAGATGAGGAGAGGAGAGGAGAAGAGAAGAGAAGAGAAGAGAAGAGAAGAGAAGAGAAGAGAAGAGAAGAGAAGAGAAGAGAAGAGAAGATGATATGATGAGATGAGATGAGATGAGGAGAAGAGAGGAGAGGAGAGGAGAAGAGAGGAGAAGAGAAGAGAAGATGATATGATATGAGATGAGATGAGATGAGATGATGATATGAGAAGAGAAGAGAAGAGAAGAGAAGATGATAAGATGAGATGAGATGAGATGAGATGAGGAGAAGAGAAGAGAGGAGAGGAGAGGAGAAGAGAAGAGAAGAGAAGAGAAGATGATATGATATGATATGAGATGAGATGATATGAGATGAGATGATATGAGATGAGAAGATGATATGATATGATATGATATGATATGAGAAGAGAAGAGAAGAGAAGAGAAGAGAAGAAGATGATGAGATGAGATGAGGAGAGGAGAAGAGAAGAGAAGAGAAGAGAGGAGAGGAGAGGAGAGGAGAAGAGAAGAGAAGAGGAGATGAGAAGAGAAGAGAAGAGAAGATGATATGATATGATATGATATGATATGATATGATATGATATGAGAAGAGAAGAGAAGAGAAGAGAAGAGAAGAGAAGAAGATGATGAAATGAGATGAGATGAGATGAGGAGAGGAGAGGAGAGGAGAGGAGAAGAGAAGATGATATGAGATGATATGATATGAGAAGAGAAGATGATATGAGAAGAGAAGAGAAGAGAAAAGAAGAGAAGATGATAAGATGAGAAGATAAGATGATAAGATAAGATAAGATAAGATAAGATAAGATAAGATAACCTTTATTGTCATTTTCTTACTGTGGGCCCAACGGCACACATCACAAATGAAATTTAGTTGCCCGCTCTCAAACTGAAACACATACACGACACACACCTAAACATACTATGTACAACATATATGTATAGACCCCCCCACCCCTCCACGTACGTAGCAAATCAATATTAAATACTGTCCATCTTGAATAGACAACGGAAGGGTTCCAAAGACCAGGGCAGGGAGAACATCACCCGCTGGGTATCTTGCCTTCAAGCTGTTCGGTGAAGCTGCAGATCCAATCCACACCCACACCCACACCCACACACACCATAAGAGACCACGCTTGCTTGGTCAGCCCTGCTTGGCCCGATCTGGACTCCAGGGACCCACCTTGGATTTGGGGGCGAAGAAGTAGGTCAGGGCGAGGAAGGGCATGGCCAGGAAGATGGAGAAGGAGACGAAGACCTTCCAGAGGCTTTTGCTGCCCCGCCAGCTGGGCAGGCTCCCACACCAGATGGACGAGAGGACTTGCTGGCAGACGGGGTGGGCCACAAACTGAGCCGGGAGGGAAGAAAGAGGGAAGGGA